CGCTGCGGTGGCCGAGAGCGGCCACTGCACTCCAGTCTGGGTGACAGAGTGAGACTCCAACTCAAAAAAATAATAATAATAATAAATAAATAAAAAAACGAAGAGTTTGCCACTAAAAGATCTTCATTGCAAAAACAGCTAAGGAATTTTCTTCTGAAAGAAAAAATGAAAACAGGAATACAAGTGATATGCAAGAAGGGACAGTGATCAAATAATTGATGATTATATACCAGTTTAGATGATATTCATACTATGCAAATAATATCAATTATTTTGTTATGATAAACATCATTAATTATATTAATGAGTCATTTGGAAATAAAGTGGAAATAAATATAAAACAACAATAACATACAAATATAAATGACTAATTAAAGTTTATGGGTTCTAAGGGCTTTGTAAGTGTAAGAAGAGGATTGATTGACATTTTGTTAAATGAAGAAGGTAAAATGTTAAGACTAATCACAAAAATAGAAGTAGGATATATAACCTTAAACAAGTAAAGGGAGAAACGTATGTAAAATAATAAATCTTAATGTTAGTATAATAAAAGGAGAAAAAATCATACAAAAAGAAAATGGAAAGCACAAAATAAGATATTAAAGCAGTAATTAGTAATACATAATATTTAAAAGTTAAGACATACCTGCCAGGGATTTTCCTAAGTGTCTGAGGTATTAATTCATTCAATTCTCACAGATATATTAATTCAATTTTGTTGTTCCCATTTTATGAGTGAGGAAATAAATATACTGTTAATCACAAAAAAAATTGCATTAAAATTCCGATTTGTGAAAGGGTATATTCAGATTTGGATTAAAAATTTATTTATAAACTTTCACAAGCAATGCTATGCTTATAAAACATAGTACTAGAAAAGCTGAAAATAAAGCTAAAAAATAATCCTATCAGCAAACTCTAACTTAAAGGTTACTGCTGTTTCCTTAGTAATATAAAATAAATTTTAAAGGCGTAAAAGAATATTTGTAATAAAATAAGTGACTTTAAAATGATAAAAGAAATAACACATCCAGAATATTGAAAACATAAATTTGGATGAATATAAAAACAGAGACTTGCACTGTATAAAATTATCAGGATCACAAAAAGGAACTGTGATGTTACGTGAATATATTGATCTTAGTAAGATAAATGTTAAGAAAGGATTTGCAAAATATATACCTAACAAAAGATTAGAAATCAGATTGTATTTTTGAAAAAAACCCTCAAATACCATAAGTTATAAACAAACCCATAGATGAGGCATTAGCAAACTACATTTTGTAAGCCAAATCCATTTCATGACCTATGTATGTCCACTTCATGACCTAGGAATGAGATACTAGTAAAAAGTCATTAGCCTTTTAGCAAATAACAGTTATAGAGTTGAAGATATTGCCTGTTGGCCTGTAAATCCTAAAATGCTATTTGGCACATTACAGAAAAACATGGCCAAACCAAGTAACAGAGAAATGTGCAAAGAATAATCACAAAAAATTCACCGAAGAGGCAATCAGAATGGTCAAAAAACAGATAAAAACATGCTTGACAGTGCTGTTATTGGGGAAACATAACATTAATAAGGGTATCTGATCTCAAACCAGGCAAAGTGGGGGCCAAAGAGAGGCCCAAATTTTACCTGTATGATGACCACTTGTATACCTAATACTGAATTGTACTCTACATCTTTAAAATGAAATAAAATGAGAAATAAATAAAAATAGGATATGAAGATGACAAATGTGAGGTAACTAAAGTAAGTTTCACTTACAGAGTAAACCAAGGCAGAATTTTCCCAGCATCCAGAGAGAAATAAGACCAGCAGCATGCCCCACGATTCATTAAAAACAAAAACAGAAACAAAAACCTGATAATAACATCATTGTGCAAAGAAGCAAAAATCTATCCATCTGGGCTGGAGCTGGGTAGACTCTCACCTGGATCACAGACTGCCATCAGATTTCACTAATTTTCCAAAAAATGTTTAAAAGATATTTTATTTAACTTATGCATGTTGTTCTGAAATTCATTGAAAATCTTTTTTTCTCTAATTATTTTGTTCCAGTTTTATAAAAGAAAAAAATAGGTTACATTGGAAAGGACACTAAGAGTGATACTTAGTAAGAGACATTCAATTAAATGCATTCACAGGGTCATATCATGTTAATGTAGTGCCATTTTTTCTTTAATATATATTATTTTATGTGATTATATATGTATTTCTTTTTCTTTTTCTTTTTTTGAGTTGGAGTCTCACTCTGTCGCCCAGACTGGAGTGCAGTGCCGCTCCCGGCCACCGCAACCTAGACCTGTTGGGCTCCGGCGATCCTTCCACCTCAACCTTCCAAGTAGCTGGAATTACAGGCATGCACTACCACGCCCGGCTGATTTTTTGAGTTATTGTAGAGATGAGGTGTCGCTGTCCAGGCGGGTCTCGAACCCGCGGGCTCAGGCAATCCACTCACCTCAGCCTCCCAAAGGCGCGGGATTACAGGCTGAGCCACCGAGCCTGGCGATATATGTATTTCTTAATATCAGTGACTCATAGACAAGAAAACATTTTTGAAAACACACTATTTATGCCATAAATGTTTTAAATAAATGTATAGAATGATTGACATACCAAAATGAAAATAACAATAACAAAAAACCTAATAGTTTTCTTTTGTTCTCTTCACGAAAATAAAAACATATGGCATAAAAAGTAAGTGAAGAAAGGGATCACACAAGTCAAGGATGTGAGATGCTGTGGTAGGCAGCCTTTGGAGTACTCCCAGTGACACCAGCCTCGTGTAACCTCCTCCTCTTGAGTGTGGGCTGAACCTAGTGACTTCCTCTAGTGAACAGTACATGGCAGAAATAATGGTATGTCACTTCTTAGATCAAGCTATAAAAAGTTTGTAACTCGTTTCTTAGTTGTGATCTTTTGGTTTCTTGTTCACTCTCTTCCATTGAAGCCAGCAGACATGTTGTGAACTGTCTTATGGAAAGATGCTCCTAGCCAGGGACTGAGGA